TACCAACAGAGGCCTTAAGGACTACCGGCTTGTTTGGTCACGTGTATGCAAAAGACGCACTGAAGCGCTTCAGTTCTGTGATTAGGTTATGTTCGATTCGGAAATCATACATTTCAGGTAGTTGAATAGCAAAATAAGTAATAGTTCCGGTCGGTGTTTCGTGCACGTTTGGGTCCTCTATCGGTGCCTAATGGATGCAGTCTGTACCGCTTACGTTCTGAGGCTTCTTGTCTGCACGCTTCATTTGTCCTGTCTGGCGGTGGTGGTGATGGTGGCGGCTGCGAGCGGCCCTTACCGTCTACATCGGTCTCTCCGCTCTCCTTGACCTACCGAGTTTTCGTACTCGGGACTACGTCAACCACTAACAGATCGATAGTTGGGAGGTCGTCTAACCTCACATTTCTCACAGTTGTTCCCGTCCATGGCTACGCTGTCCGGTGTCGAGCAGCATAGTTGCATTGTGACAGATGGACGATCACCGATCAGGTTACGGAACGGGCTCGCTCCGTTGTGCCTTGGGGCTCATACTAGAACTCTCGCAGGCAGTCACACAGCGACTAGTAGTATAGGTAGATGAGATAGTACCGACAAAGACAAGGGAGACTGGAATGGTCAACCTGTCACAACCGACAGGACAACGGGCCCGTGGCTCCATGGTAGAGCGTCAAACTCCATGACCAAAGATACCGAGTTCGAATCTCAAATGATCCACACCTGTTGTTGGGTGTGACTGGCTGATGACGACTAGTAAGCCATAAATGACCATTCCGGTCGGCCTTGTCCTCGTCGGTACCATGTCATTTACTTCTACTACTATTACTACTACTACTACTACTACTACTACTACTACTACTACTACTACTACTACTACTACTACTACTACTACTACTACTACTATTACTACTACTACTACTACCAGTTGCTGTGCCGCTGCCTGTGAGGGTTCTAGTATGATCCCCAAGGCACAACAGAACGAGCACGTTCCGTAACCTGTTCGGTGAGCACCCCTACGTCATAATTGATATTCCCGATCACAACCGACAGGATAACGGGCCCGTGGCTCAATGGTGGAGTGTCAAACTCAATGACCAATGATCGCGGGTTAGAATCTCAAGTGATGCACGCTTGGGGTTGGGTACGACTGGCCGATGACGGCTAATAAGCCAGAAATGGCCGTCCCGGTCTGCCTTGTCTTTGTCGGTACTATCTTAGGGTTGCATTGTCCCGCTCCGCGAATCAATGCGGTCCAGTCGTAGGCTACCTTGATGACCCGTCGGCAAAACAATAGGCATGGATATCGGATCATGGCTCAGTCAATCGTAATGTCTATCTGTCCCCGTTTCGGAGGATCAAGCAAGGCTGCAACAAATCCTCAGTCGTCGTCGGTGACGCATGTTAATCAGAGACCCATGGTTAACTCATGACATAGGACCAAACTTGCTCTGTTAAGCCTTAAACACCCCTAATAAACCTAGTCCGCTGAGCGCCGTTTTATTTCGTTATGCGCCAGTGCCGATCGGACGCATGTGTTTTACCTTGTCACCGTCAGAACACCTTGCCAAGGTCGGCGACTCGAGTGTGTTGCATGGACCTTTTTCACCAAACTCTGTTTCATCTATCCGCTTTGTCCCTTCCATCGTGCTTAAAGGTTTTAACCGGTCTATTCAGGTTCGCGCCATTTTCCTCCTCCATGAACCCTTCTCCGTGGAGAATCACCTTCTCACACCAACCATGAAATGCGCCCGACATGTCATCCGCCAGCGTTATCAAAACGAACTCCAGAAGCTATTCGTCAGCGGCGAACTCGACTAGTCATCAGGGGGTGCTCTGGCTGGGCTGACATCTTTTCTCTTGCCTCGCCTCCCACCACCCATAAGGGACCTTCTCTTCCCTCTTTGTGGCAGCAACGAATTTGCTCCTGTTTTTTTTTCCTTTCATTATCTTCGTATGATTGACTTGGGGCCTTCGCCGATTGCGGCCGTTTGTTGTTTAACTTCCTCACGTTATCCAAAAGCCACGTTTCGGCGTGTACAAATCTGCTGAACTTGACATTTGTCCCGCTTCTTTGATTTAGCTTGTGTGGGGGACGTTTACCGCCCCAACTTGGGCTACATGAGCTCCATGTTGTTGTAAGTGGGATATGTCGGTTTTACTTTTTTGCCTCCACCTCACCCCATTACTCCAGCTGTTTCAGATCGTTTCTTCTTGGCTTACGAATACATGCCATAACACTTTAACTGGGTAACCTTCCCGCTTTTGGGGTATCTTTTACGTCTAAGTTCTTTAAAGAAGTAAAAGTCAGCAAACTTGCACTTTCGATTTTTCATCGTCGGGTCTGTGCAATAATAGAAGTTACGGTAGAGCAGTGAAAGGGGAAAATCGATGGATAGGGATGATGTGGGGAGAGGGGGAGGGGCTAGATCGTGGGTGTCTTGAGCCGTCTAGTTTTATCAAGAGCTGGAGGAGGGTGTCTGTATTTTGTCGCTGGAAGGCGGCATGGTGTTATGCGGGTGGGAATGTGTGTGGCTGAAATTGGGCCAGGGCAGCTGGGGTGCTTGAATGATCGTATTGCGAGGGTATAAATTTGGGTTGGCCAACTGTGCGGTCGCAGTGTCTACGGCCGTAAACATCCGCTGGGGCAGGAGTCTGGTGTGGCCGTCGTCTGTAGATGACTCACAATGGTTCGTTGACGCTTACCGAGGAGCTGCTGTCAACTAAGTGAGTCACGACTGCAATTTCCCATGTCTTGATTTGGCCAGGCGGAATGGCGCTTTCGCATTTACTTGAATAGGCACCTGATAGTTCGACCAATGTATCCTGTCGCACGGGGGCAAGTGAAGGCGTAGATGCACAGTAAAATCTGAGAGAGGTGAGGGAGGCGAGTGCCTTAGATAACTCATCTTGGTCGCTGGGTACGTGCGCGCAGTAGCAGAGTTTAGGCCGCTTTATGCGAGTTCACTGTTTGCGTCCCACCGAAATGGCAGTTGGGAATAACTCCTCCCCAACCGTCGGCACACCAGTCTTTGACTGACATTCTTATATCTTGTGATAAGCTTCCAGATGAAACCACTTTCTTGCATTATTTCGTTCTCCAGCCTATCAGTTGGACTAGTTAGGCGTCGGACTAACCTTCGATTTTGACTCAGGGGGAGAGAGCTGTAGGTTTTTTACCCATGTTTTCTTGTGGAATGCAATGTACAAGTTATTCCTCCTTGCGTTCTAATTGTGGAGGGCACCTCGAAAGGAAAAGCAAAGTGAAGGCTAACATTGACTGAACTTGATTCACTTTATTCATGTCAAGGTGCTCATTCGCTACTCTGGAAATTTCATAAACATATCGGGCATAAAAACCAAGCACAACTGTAACCGAATGAGGTCCGTTTAACCCTTGTTTCCTGACGGAGACATCCCATAGTAGGGATTCCAGGGACAGTCCCACCGCTACTCCGTCGATCTGGCGATAAAGCTGACCATCGGATTTGTATTGAACATTCAATGCGCAACAAAGGATCAGTTTAAGGCTACAATCGGCATGCCCATTGTTTAATTCCGCTTGACTGTTCTGTTTCATAAATATCTTATTGTCTCCGTGAGGGGGGATCTAGTGAATAAAGACATTTAGGGATGACACCATTTCCCAATTGAGATTCGCATTTCTTATGAAATCGGCGAATCCACAGGTGTTCCACAGGGTGTGTGGCGCTGCTTGCTGTCGAATCGGTTTGTGTGATCGGGGAGTCGCACGTGTCTGATAGTAGCCACATATGGAGGTTTGGTTTGTGAATCGTTGGTAAACCATACAGCCTTGAGGAATTATGCGAATAGGCTTAGGAAATTCAACTAACTGACCATCGGGGAGGATCAGTTTCGGAATAAATGCCGTAGGTCAGGCTTCTAGACCTCGGTTTGGCCCCTATCTTGTCATCCTCTTCATACATTTGCAGCATTAGCGAGGATTGACTCGTCACTTTTATTCTCTAGGACGAGACCAGACACGTGACTGGACTTGGCGACGAGCGCTTTCTCATTTTAGCATAGCTCTTTGAGTCTACTGAGGTGAATTCATGTGATATATCCGATTCTCAGTGATTTAGTTCTAAGGTACAGACAGCGGCGTGGTCTTTGGGCACTTGGCCTCCCCTGATGTTGTAGGCGCTGCTCGTCCTTGTGTCTAGCTTAACTGGTTTCAGAGCCAAAGGTCTTCCACTAATATCTGTGGTCTTTGATTAGAAAAGTAAACTTTGTGGCCTGGGGATATTACTTCAATCAATTTAAAATTATGGGCCTACCGCTTCAGATCATTTGGTGAAGTAGGATACGTAGTCACTAGGTTGATGCTACAAAGAAGCTTAATTCATTTCGCTTCAGCTAGTACTGTGGTCAAGGTTCTGATACAACGGCTAAGTCGTCGTCGTCGTAGTCGTCCTTCATCAGTCAGCTTGCTGAGTACCGTCATACGCCGACATGGATTACGATGTAGCTCACTGGTCTTCGTCTTAATACTGTCTGATCAGTTCTCAGCAGGTCGCCTTGTTTATGTCCTCGAGATCATTGCCAGATCTGCACGGAATGGCCTCCGACATTCCTGTTGACATTTATTCCTCATGGAGCACTCTGTGATGGACTTCGAGACCTCGTTTGATCTAGCAAGGCAACTGGTGTAACGCAGGTGCCCATGGAGTAAAATCTTCTCAAACTGTAGTTGGGATCAGCCGTAGTTTTCTATTATCTGGTATTTTATAGCAATTCCACTGATAAAATGGAAACGGTGACGTTTGCGCTTGCGCTTGCCCAAAAATCAAGGCATCTGCCCCGCAAGTCCTTCCTCTCAACCGCTATCGAATCAGTCATGATTCAGTTGGGCTCTTGGACCATTGAAGGACTATGACACACACTGCGATGAACAATTTCTAACCCATCAAAAAGAACAACACCGTTCATCAAGACGACGAGCATACGTTGGACTGGTTCCCTCCGAAACAAAAATGACTAATAGGTGCATGAATGTAGCGGGATCAGAACTGTCTACGCAAAACCCCGCCGACGTCTGCGCAAGATTCAAGCCAATACAAGAAGAAGAAGAAGAAGAAGAAGAAGAAGAAGAAGAAGAAGAAGAAGAAGAAAAGGAGGAGGAGGAGGAGGAGGAGGAGGAGGAAGGAGAAGACGAGGAAGAAGAGGAAGAGGAGGAAAAGGAATCGATTGCTCTAACAAGAAGCTTACTCTCGGGACGTTTCGGATCCTCACTCGGGCCCATCATCAGTAACAGTCGCAAATAAAGATGATAGAGGCACAAGACGTGCAGTATTTACAGGACGCGGTTGCAATGCCACCACATTCGCACTATGTATGATTAGCAGCTCCTATGTTCATCTCTGGGGCACGTACCTGATGCGTTGAGGGTTTGTCCGGCTCTTACACCGGTTTGACCGGCATCTAAGTATACCACTCCATACACCCTGGTCCTAAACAAACACTTGACCAGGATTTTGACCAGCAACAAAAAATAGACGGGTCAGAAAAAGGAGGATGACTGGGCAGCCCTGCCTGTATACCCGGCGGAACCGCAAGCGCATCTACAGGCAGGGAAATCAGGTGACAGAGAACTGCCAGCCTACACCAGGCCGCGAGGACCATGATTTGCTGGAGCATGGCATGGCAGACGCTTACAGTCTTTGGAGCCCAGAGCGGTCCTGTATAGGGCACCTGTCGCAGCGCTACGCCTTTCGAGTGCTTGCACGCCCGTACCAGTGGCGGTCTGATCCTCGGCCAATCACATCTACGCAAACGGACCAATCAAGTCCAACCCAGACGTGCTCTTGCCCAATGCGCCGTGACTATTTCCCCACTCTCATGTGGGACGCCGTTCTCATGGTGTGGACGTTTGCTTTCGCCCAACTGCCAACTTGTCTAAGCCCGTTCCCTGATCTTCTTGTATGGAATACTGCATTCTTTCAGTTGACATTCAACTCCTCTTTCTATTCAGGACCAGGCTTGAAGGTCGTAGTGGCTAGGGCCCCCCTATGGATATGGGAGCGGAAAGTCATTGCGCTTCTTAAGTGACTGTAGGCGGGAGAATTAGGACTCAGGCAGCTCACGGGTCACGCGGCTGTCACATCTTGCGAAAGTTCCAGCCTCATCAAACCCGAAGGTGTGGCCGGATCCCGTCGAATTCAAACCAGTCCCAATCATACCCTGAGCGTGCTCAAATAGGGATATTAGGGTCAAATCGATCCCCGATTCGGATCTAGGTTAAAAAGGTTGGTTGAACATTCCCTGGTGAGACGGATCACTTAACTTCTCAACTATCATTACACTGTTCTCCTTGGTTATCTTGGATCACTTAACTTCTCAACTATTATTACTCTGTTCTCCGTGGTTATCCTGTCATTATTTACTCAAAAATAAAACATTGTCACATAGTATGTGAGACAACAACGGTGCTCTGTTTGGGCTCCAGATCAAAACTGTGATCAGTGTTGCGCTGATTTCATTTTTGCCCTTGACGGTTATTCCTGTAATTGCGAACAGGTGGCCAATGGGACTGTTGACAATCCCGCTTTGTGCGAGGGCGAAATTCTTAGTCGCTTAGCTCGCTGAGAGTGGTCGCGTAGACAACGGATTTCGAGTTCTATCGTCTGCTTGCCATCACGTCTGCTGTCATCACGTCATCACGTCTGCATCTGATGACGTCATCACGTCTGCCTCTGATGACACATGCCTGTTACAGTTATTTATGCAACATTCTCGTCACCGGAACTGACAAGACCATGTGACGGTGAACGTACCATGGCTGCGACCTGCGACCCCGGCGTATCTACAAGTTACTGCGGTCTGCGGTTGGAGCCGTACCAGCCTGACGCATCTTCACGTGTTCCCTGTAATCAACCATGACCTGAAGTGTGGTGTCAGTTTCTGCCTTTTCGGCCATGATGATTATTGAAAACACCACCCCGGATCTTTTCGGTGGTAAACTGCTATACCAGACCGCCTGCTGATAGCTAATCTACCCCCAAATCCAGTCGTTTCCCCTCGGCTATCATAGCTTAACCGACTTGGGTCTGGTAGGCTGTTGACTGTTCGCGACCCCTATCACCCATACGAAGCTTGTTTGCTTCGGGATGCCAATGGATCGGTCTGCAACCATTCCTGAGTAAACAGATATTGATTCCCGTTTGGTTGTGCCAGCCTTTTGCGTCCCTACACAGACGGCGGACAGCAGTCGCAAGTCATTCAGTCCGGTGTTTATGTGCGACAGCTAGCCTTTCCTCGGGACACTGCTGCTGCTGCTGCCGCTGCACTTTACACCGAATCCTCCGTCACCAATGGACACGCCTTGGATGCTGATTGCCAAATGGTGGCGTCGTTGGTGGTGGCGGCATAAGATACGAACCAGGACAAAAGTTCTCCAGTTTAAGCTTCCAGTCGCCTCTTCTGCAGTCGTTCCTTGGCTTAGGTCGTGTGGCTGGAGTTGTAGCAGATGGGTATATGTCAGTGCGCTTGTACGTACGTGCCCAAATGTCAGCCAACTGCAACCCTCTTCCTAGACGTAGACAACCGCGTGACGAGTCACGCTCTCAGCTCTCGCCCTGCCACCGACCACGTGAATTCCCTACTGCTTCCTTCACCCGGCACTTTGTGTCCTATCTTCGGGTTGCTCCTCTTCAATATCCCTACTAACTGTAACCTTTTTGCTACATTTACTTCTTTTGACTTTGTCAGCGTCGCCATCAGTTTATCTGGACTTATAATTGGATAAATAGCTAATTAGCTAATTACGATCGGGGCTTAGGATTTGTGAGTGTCTGCTACGCCATGCTCAGCAAACCATGGCCCTCGCAGCGTGGTATGCGCTGGCAGTTCCCTGACACCTGGTTCCCTGCCGGTAGCTGCGCTTGCGCTCCCGCTAGGTATACAGGTCGTGTGTGCATGGGTGCTCAGTCACCCTCGTCGTCTTTCTGACCCGTTGTTGTGTTGTTGTTGGTAAAAATCCTGGTCAAGGGTTTGTTGAGGGCTAGAGGGTGTGACGGTACGCTCAGGTGCGAGTCCGGTCCTGACAGCCACCTGCGCCATCTTCTGTCTCCGGTTTCCTTATCTCTGGTTTAACATCGGGACCAGGTAAGGAGGAAGAGAGAGAGTGCGGTAGATGCTACGGAAGTCTACGCTCTCTCTATAAACTAATTCACGCGCAAGTCACAGTGCCTGCTGCGCCTTGTTGTGGAGCGCACGGTGGACATCATCGGGCACGACGGTCGAGCCGTCAGCTGTTTAGCCTTCTTGAGTTGTCACGTCTGTGAGGATTTAGGTGTTTTAGGACAATCTACTGAGTACTCATTCTCACTACTCGGTTTGTATGTGGGACGCGTTGGACTGCAACTTCGCTTCACACCGAGTGCCGCATCTAATCTCATCCACGGTCAAATTCACTCATACAAGCCACTCATATATGGGAGCGGAGAGAGAGACAGAGAGAGAGAGATGTCGCTCTAGCGCCTAGTTTCCTTCATAATGGAGAGCCAAAGGCTCTGTTAAACGTATCACAGTACTCACTCTTATTTTCTTTGAAACATATTTCGTGTGTGGTCATGGGCCGGGCCGTGTATGGCATGCGTAAATGTGCTGTGTTTAGCTCTGACAACCACTGTACCCATGTCTATCCATAGTTATCTCTGTTTTGCTGTCAAAATAGGGTGCCTACGCGGGCATAAAGTGAGGTAGATACGTCGAAAGTCGGTTGCATGCGCATTCATGAAACCTGCGGTAAATCACCACGCAGACGACCACATCAACCCACATTCCCCCGCGAACACATGCACCAGGCATACACACCTCAAAAATCCCGCATTACCAGCACCTCCTACCTAAGTGGAAAGTGCACTTTTCGGTTCATTTCCCCCTACGTCTCCTCTGCTGGATACGAGGTTCGAGCGTTCTATCACCCTGTTTGTGAAATCCTGGTCTTTATGTATGGGGGCCAGGTCGCGTGTATGTCAGGCGCAGACAAGTTCTTCTAAGTCTTGTCAGCTAACTCTCTCACTCTCAGCATGGGTTGGTTGACCGGCTCGGACAGTTGGCTGATGCACGGGACAGGGTAGAGTGAGTGAGGTCGACGGTCTCAGGGCGCAACTCCTCACTATAATCAGCCCGACTCGCTGGAGACTAACACCGCACGCCAAAGGCCGTGGCCTGGAAGGTGGCCAGCTGACGCTTCAACCCAGACCACGCAGTCAGCCTGGTTGTGTGTTTATGCGTTGAGTGGCTGACTGGTGGACTGGTAGTCGGACTACGAGGGCTCCTTCTTAATGGCGCTCTCTCACACATGCAACATCCGAGCCACTTCCCCCTTGGTGCCTGCGTTTTGAAGTCCAGGTCCTGCATCTGGCGCACGCAGACGGGCTCTCTGGCTCTGTCAGCCAGTGTGCCCACTTTCAGCACCAGACATCTGACTGGATCGGACAGCGACTGGTGCCTGGGAGCAGGAAGAAGCACCGGCGGCGCACATTCCTCGCTATAAACAATCTGGCGCGTTTGAATTTGTCACGGTACGCTAGAAATCATGACGGGATAACTTCGATCTCGCAGTCAGCCCAGGGTATGTTTGTGTGGAATGGTGGACTGAGAGTCAGGCTGCAATGACTCCTTCTTAATGTGGCCTCTGTGCCCCCGCCCCCCCCCCCCCCGGTGGGATCCGAGCCGTCCCTCGCCTTTTCTTGCGTAACATCCTGCTCAGTTTACGTTGTGGCCCAGGGCGTGTGCTTGTACGCCTGGGTGCGGATTTTCGCCGTACCAGCCACCTGCGTCCTCCCCCGCCTCCGGTCTTCTTGACTCTGTCTTGAAACCGGGCTCTGGTGGGGGAGGAGAGCGTGCGGTAGATTCTGCACGAGCCGGCTATCAATGTAAATTCATTCACGCTCAATTCCCCATCCCTGCTCTCATCCTGCTGTAGAGTACAAGGTGGCATCGTCAGAAATGAGAGTGGAATTGTCGTTTGGGCCTTCTGAACTAGGTCGTTATGTGCGCAACGGACAGAAAATAAATAATTAGAATCATTACTAACTGGTTTACGAAACTGGGGATCGTAGATTCATAAGTGCTATAAGGGGCATTTCTGAAACGACCTGTGTGTTTCAAGAGCAAGCTTAAGTAAATATTTGAACTTACATCACACGTATGTTCCAGAAAACTCTTCAGAAAAAAATCTCTAAATTCCTTGATGTCCTCGTCTGTCGCAAAGATTGTGGTGGCCTAAAGACCAAAGTGTTCAGAAAAGCAACGAACACGACGCAAATTCTGAACTTCAACAGTAACCACCCAATCTGCCACAAACGCAGTTGCGTAAGAACGCTATTTCGGCGTGTTGAGACGCACTGCAGTGAAGCGGAAGACAAGGTTGTCGAATCCCAATATCTTCGACGGGTTTTCCGAGAAAACGGTTACCCGCGCAACTTCGTAAACCAGTACCTGCGCAAACGAGACGAGCGACAAAATCGTACCGACCCCAAATTCTGGCGAGCGATCCCGTACATCAAGAATGTCTCCGAGGCCGTTAGTCGCCTTCTTGCACCACTTGGGGTTGGAGTTGCGCACAGACCGGAGGCCACCATGAGGCGTCAAGTGATGAGACCAAAAGACCCACTGCCACGGCAAGAAACATCTGGAGTCGTTTACCGGATCTGGTGCAGTTGCGGACAAAGCAACTACGTCGGAGAAACTGGAAGACTGCTCCGGACGCGAATCGCCGAACACATGGCAGCTGTACGGAGAAATGACGCCAACTCTCAGGTCGCGGCCCATTCGACGAGACCCGGCTACACATTCAAGTTCGATGAGGCCGAAATTCTCGCGAGAGGGGATAATCGCGTGAGCCGCGAGTTGCTTGAGTCATGGTTCACGGGACCTCAGTCTATCAACAAGTGCGACGACATCCCCACTCCATATTCTGTCCTGAGGCATAGACTGGCCAAAGCAATTGACCATTCGAGGAGCGCGCAAGCACGTGAGCCAGATGGCCGAGCAATCATCACGCCAGCATCCAACACGGGTGATGAGATGTCAGCAAGTAACAGCTTGCATGTCGGCCATCAAGCAATTAGCGCACCAGCGGACAACAATCCCTGATGAAGGGAGCACGGTTAATTGCTGTAGGTATGCGGTAGCATGGCGACCGCATCCTATAAATACTGCGACTTCCTTTACACTAGCCACCCTTTTCTGCAACTGTCTCTGATGATGGATTCGAGAGAGAATCCTAAACGTCAGGCGAGTAAAGCCATTGTTCCAGCGATCGCTTCTTCTTCTGATCAACTAGTTCCTGGAACTCGCATTTTCGCTTGTATCGACAAATTCCACCATCTTCAAACAAAAAATCGATTTGGCTCAGTATAATGAACCTCCCTCGGTATTACGTGTGACCTCGCCCAAAATTCCAGGGGTTTGGAGGCAAGTTTGTCGTTAGGGTCAAAGTTAGGACACGGGAATAGGTATCCACCTGGAACTTAGCGCGAGATAATCTATAGTACGGGGCGGTTATATTTTCGTGTCAAATCAGACATTCCTTTCTTTCTCATTTGAAACCGTAAGATGTGGTTACGTAGCCCCACCTGATGAACACAATACTGTTGAGGTTGGGGCTAGGAGTTAGGTTTAAGGTCAGGAGTTAGGGTTTGGGTTTAGTGTTAGGAGTTAGGGCAACTATTTTTCACCCACTCAAAGTACAACCGCGCATTTCCCATAGCTTTTATTTTGCATACAACTACTTGACCTTGTCGCCTGTGCGTTCCCTGGCCCCACCAGTAAAAAGCCCTATTACCAGCGGTCCCGTATTACAGGTGGCTGGAGTTGGTTTACCACAGGTGCGGCTACATAACCACATCTGACTATTCGAAACTTAATGAAGTTCGACGTTTCCACAAAGCAGCTATAAAAGTTGCACCAAATTCATCCAGTGAATGAAGCTATAAGTCATTTTATGGTGGGGACTGAAATGTCTGTTAAATCTGTGTTTTCTGTGTGTTGAGGTCTTCGTTCGTGTTTAAAATATCCTGATGATGGAAACGACTTGATTTTTCTTATATATTTTTCACCTCTGGGGACTGCTCCCCACTGTCCGTAACTGGCACCCATCTCTCGTGTCCACACCCCAGCAACCGCCTCGATGGACCGGCTAAGGCAAATGAGGGCGCTCGACGATTTGTGTCCCCACACCTGGTAATTCTGCTCCCGCCCCCTCCTCCCCCTTCATCCTATTTCATTCCCCTTCCCTCCCCCTCCCACTCCAGTCGTTCTACTGGGAGGAGGACTTGCAATCGCGTAGGGGGCTCAACTTAACCCAGGTCGCTCTCCGATAAACAAAGTTGTGACACTGTGAAATTCAGCAGCCGTCTG